AACCCACCGCCGCCCCATCCCGTTGCTTGCCCGAGAGGCCTGCGTGGTGGTGGCGGCTGGTGACATTTTGACGCGTTTCTGTGACAGGAGTCTCCCACCGCCCTGGTTGGGTTTTTTTTTCCCCGGGCTGGGCTCTGGCGATGCAGCCCCCCGAGGTCCGGGGTTGGGGGGGGGGGGGGGCCTCCCCGGGATCTGCAGGGGAGGCCGGCACCCTGACCCCGCAGCACCCCAAGCCCACCGGCTGCAGAGCCGGGCTGGGGGCTCCCAGGGACGGGGGGACGGGGGATCACCTCCCGCTGCCTTCCCAGCAGAGAAAGGACGAGGTGAAGAAACGGCTCGGGAGAGAAAAAAAAAAAAAAAAAACACCGCAGGGATTTCAGATCTCAGCAAGCAGGGGAAAGAAAACAAAAGCATTCGGGTTTGTCCCGTTCGGGTGCTCGGAAGGTTAGGTGAGCCAAGAGTCACAGCCGGGGGTTTTCGGAGCGGCTTCGTGGGATAGCCACGGCAGGTACGGTGGGGATAAGGGCAACGCAGCATCCTCCTCGCCACCCTCCTTGTCTCCAGCCCCTTCCACGGCCATCTTCCCTCGCTCGGCAGGGCAGCCCCCTCGATGCCTTGCAGGACACGGCGGGTGCTCTCAGGTGCCGAAGGTTTTGACTTTTCCAGGGGCCCAGATCCAGGGCCTGACCCTTGGGAGGGCTGGAGGCTCTTCACACCCATCCAGCTGGCCAGGTCTCCTCTGCAAGCAGAGCAACCCCCTCCAAATTTTGCTTCTGGGGCGGGGGGGCCACACCAGTGACAAGCTACCTCAACAAGGCAGGGGTCAACACGACTGGGTTTAACTGGCCGAGGGAAGAGTCAACTGATTTGCCCTTGAAGACACGGAGCTTTCACCCTGTCCTGTACTTACACCCACAGGCTCACTCTGGTTTGGTGCCTGCAGTTTTGATGGGCCACCGAACCCTTGGCTGCAGTTGCTCTTCTGAAGTGATACGCTGAACTCTGCGTACACTGGCCGGGGGTCAAAACCATTACACAGCGCTCAAGCCCAGGCCACAGCAGTCTGCTTGCCTTCATCAGCCCCGGCGTGGTAGCCCCAGGGCTATGCTCACACCACTCACCTGAGTAATCTCAGTATCACCAGACCCCAGTTCACAAAAATGATGTGCGCAGGCAAAAAAAAAGAAGAATACAAGTGAGATCGGTTTAAAACGCACAAGGTTGAAGTAAAATATTAGCCATGTTATTTTTTATTTGTTTTCTGGGTTTTTTAGCACTCGGAAGTTGTTTTCCATCTCCTCTCATCAACCGCAAGTTCTAGCAATTCACTTAAGAAAATTAAAGCTGACATTCTCACGTCTGCAGGAGCCGGGACTTTTTTTTGAAGTTGCAAGTCCATGATAAAACTGTATCAGCTGGCAAAGCTGGGCCTATTCATCGGCTTTATTTGCAGGATTTCATCTTCATTTCTCCAGGCTTTCCTGCCTTTGACTTCCATAGCCACCAGCAAGGAAGTGCCATTTCAGACTTCACTTTCTCTGTCAGGTGTGGGACACTTGGCTTGTCTTGTTGATCTACACAAGAGAGTCATTGTAGGCTAAGAAAGTGATCTGCAAAGTATGTCCGGGGGGCTCCCTGAAGATGCCCAGGGCTCACCCTGCTGATGTGGGCCTGCCTGCTGGTAACCTGCCGAATGTCTCACTGGTGACTCCTTAGCTGAGGAGTTCCCAGTCTCTGCTCCCTGGGAGTCACTGCTTGTCTCCCAGTCCACAAAAGAAAGGCAAACCCCTCGTCAGTAGGATTACGACATTGTACCAGAGTAGAAACACGTACCAGGAAAAAAAAAAAAATAATGGGGTCCGAATATTGGAAAAGACCGCGTGCCCCACAGGTAAACAACCAGGAACACGGCTGCGGTGCACAAGAGCACTGATTTATTTGCAGCCTTTGGAAAAGAAGAAACAAGTTACTGTAGGACAAGAACCTTCTTTATTTTGTTCCTCTGTTTATACCTCCCCCAGCACAAGGGCCTGGGACTAAGCCCCTGGATGGTGTACAAGTATATTGAAAACGAGTAATTAAAGCCAAAGGGGCGGGGGCGCAAATAATTTAAGCCACTAATGGAAGCAAAAGAGAAAACGAAAGAGGAGTGGTCTGCGCCTTGGCTTATCCCTCTATTCCTTCTCCTCCATCACCCCCTCCCTTGCTCTCCGAGGGGCTGGGAAGAGGCGGGGGGGGGGCTGTACCCCCCCGCAGCCGCGCTAGCTCCGCGCCTTTTCTGCAGGCAGCGCAGCCCCCAACCCGCGCGGTCGAAAAACGTTGGAGTCGCTCTGGGACAAATGATGAAGAAAGGGGATAAAATTAAGGAAAAAAAAAACAAAACAAAACACCAAACCAAAAAACTAACATTAACAGAGCGGCCTCCCGCGGTGGGGG